TTCACAAAGTGCTGCGCCTGCCACGAAATCTGCACATGGAGGTTCACGAAGTGCTGTGCCTGCCACGAAAAGTGACACTATCATCTCACAAAATGTGCACCACACCACACGTTTGGAATGGTTTTCGACCCGTACTGAGCACACTCCCATCCACCTAAATCGCAATTTCACCTGAGACTTGTCACGAAAGCAGAGCTTCGATGCCACACCCTGAAACGCAAATCTCAATGGCACGGCCACATCCAACACCCCAAAAACACGCCTCTCCTAACGCTAATCCCAATGGACCTGCGCAGCAAACTGCGGATCTCACAAACCACTGCACCTGTGCAGCGAAATGCGTCACGTTTCTTGCACGACATGTCATCTTCAAGCAATTCACAATGTACTTGCGGCGCAAACTGACACGTGACACATCCATGAAAAGTCACTTGCAAAAGCTTCCCCCAATGGCAGCGCCTTAGCGCTCTACTGCCGACGGCAGCGTCCGATTGCGGACGGTTGCGAACATAGAAACAACGGGTCACGAACAAGGCTCTACCCCCAGACCCCCAGAGTTAAACGAGAACCCTTCGCTACACATTCGGGAAAAAGCTGCTTGTGTGTGCGTGTGTGCCAATCAGCACAGACAAGGAAGGCAAGGAACCAGGGAAGTGTGGAAGGCCTTGGTCGTGGTGACAGAAGGTGGCAACGAGCCAAGGAATGGTGGACATATTGGCAAACAACCAAAAGCTGGAGTGGTTGCACCCCAACCACAGGAGAAAAGCTGAAAGCTAGAACCAGCATTACAGTATATTACAGTGAAGACAAAGAGCCAAAAACAACCAAACGCCACACAAAAAAAAACAACACAAAAAGAGCCTACTGTTGAAACTTCCGCCCACCAGCCCTGCTGGTAAGTGCACAAGGCTTTCATCATTTGCAAGCTGAAAGTCAGGGATTGGTTGGCAATTGCCCGACTGCAAACATCAATCGACGAAACACAGGGCATCACACACAATTACGCGGGGTGCAGTTCATAGTCACTACACTGTCACTCCTACCCACCAAAGCCCTTTCAAACCATTCTGGCCGTTTCTGCGCAACTTAGACATGATAGGCACCCCTCTTGAACACATCAGGCCAAACTATAAAGTGAGAATCCTTACCTCGCCCTGCGGAATTCTACAGTATTTGGATTGCTAGTTAGGAATGCTCCCTCTCGCTCAATTCCAGGACCCTCGCGTTCCAATTGCTATGGAACCAAAGTCCAGCATCCGAGGCAGGACAACATCATTGGCTGAAGGGTATGCATGGATTGGCCTGGGGCACTTGCACGTGAACCTAACTGCTAGAACCACAACTCTAAACGAACAGGCGCTGCTCGAACTCAGCTCGCAGCACTATCAGATTCTCAGACAACTCACCACAAAATATCTTGATGGTGTCATAGTAATAGCGCCTCATTGTTGACAGGCTTGCGCAGGAACATTTGGGCATGCTTACTTACCTGGCTTGTAGTACGTTTGGGGAAACCTCAGATGAATGACTTCGAATCACCGTGGCAAATCATAGCAGAACATCAAACCCTTGTATAAAACCGTGAAAGGGCCATTAGCCTACACATGGTGCCATACTCCAGCAGGCTAGCACCCCACGCTGCTAAAGCACGAATCGACAGTTTGGGGTAGAATAATCTGGCGCACAAGCGTCCATTCATGTGGCTCGAAGGTGACCATGATGTCTTCACTCATTCCAGGCCTCAAGGGACGTTGTGAAGTCACGGAAAACTGTAGCGCACAAGCCTGATAGCGACAAACATGGTTTGTGTGGAAATTTTTCTGTCTTAGGCACGTCATCTCCTCACCAAATACTGCCAACACTGCTTTCCAGATCAGTTCGACGAGGCGACATGAGTTGCTTTATTTTTTCTGAGTTCTTTGTTTAGGGTTTGGGGTATCTTCGATGTTGCGACATCTGACTTCTTGCTTTACAGCTAAAGCTTGCAGGGTTTGCCAATCGAGCGCATCGACACCGAAGGACATAATGCACATGACAATGCGCTGTACGGTGTCATGAGGATTCTATTCATGGGGATCCCCACTACTATTACACCCAAAGGGCCCCCATTTTGTAAGTATAAACCAGGGGCTTTACAACTTGAGTAGGTGTGCCAAAATGTCGGCTTTGCAAAAGGACAGGTCATGTAAGCACCAGTGGCCGGGTAGATGACCTCTCAGTCGGTAGAGAGCTATACTTAGACATTATCAGGGACCATGCCCTAACACTTTATAAGGAATTCACTGTTCAATGTCACAGAATGTGGATCTCTGGCCTCAACCTCAAAAAAACAAAGGCCCATTTTGTAAGGACATAGCTGCTGGATGTTGCTGGGTCTTTTTCAGCGCTCTGCCAGCTGATCCATGTCCGTTCAGACCCCCCTAGCTGTAGGACAAAGTATCTGCATCACCGTTGTTTTCTATTGCAACGTGTGCATATATGGCTTGGATGCTGGCTGACACGGTGCACCCACAGCACAATGAAAGCATGTTGCTCTCTTACAAAGGAAAAGTACATCCGGCCATTTCTCAATCCTCCCAATTCCTCCCATGTGTATTCTCAACCGTGGTACCGTGGTTTTCTTTTTCTTGCCATCGATGAAGCCAATGGGAATGGGCAGCATGACTCTGAGAAATGACTCTGGGCAACAGTTGCAAGTTTCTTACAAAAAGAGGGTGCGCAACCTGGCCACATTCCTGAGAACCGATTGTTCATATCCCTTTGTGGATAATGAACAGGCTGTTACAGAATAAGGGGTGTGAGCCTACCATGATAGCTTTGAGTTTGACTTCCTTACAAAAAGACTTTTGTATAAACACTAGGCTTCTTACAAAATGATGTCCGGTTTCCCTCTTACAAAATGCCCAGGTGCTTGACATTGATTTCTTACAAAATGATCCCTTCCAACCCATTTATAGGGGGCTTCAGTTTTTTTGCGTCAGTAACCGGGGTTTTTTGCAACGGTGACACCAAAAGGTTTTTTTGCAACAGTTGCCAAGGGAGTTTTTTGCGACGGAAAAGAAGGTTTTTTGCTACGGGAGAGTTTTCTGTGACGATAAACGGGGTTTTCTGCGTCAGCTTTGGCACCAGTACGACTTGTTCACAACGATCACTAACTACTAACTAGTACTACTACCACTACTACTACTACTACCACTACTACTACGCCTACTACTACTACTACTCCTACTCCTACTACTACTACTACTCCTACTACTACTACTACGACGACGACGACTACTACTACTACTACTACTGCTACTGCTACTGCTACTGCTACTACTACTACTACTACTACTACTACTACTACTTACTACTTACTACTTACTACTTAGTACCTACCACTACCACTACTACTACCACCACCACTACTACTACGACTACTACTACTACCACTACTATCACGACTACTTACTAATACTACTACTCTTACTACTACTTTCTACTTACTACTTACTATTTACTACTACTTACTATTACTTACTATTTAACTAGTATACTACTAACTACAAACTACTACAACTACTAACTACAACAACAACAACTACTACTAGTTCTAGTGCTCATGTAAGTCTCAGTGCCCTCATTTTCCAAAAGCTGTGAATTTGAAGCAGTAGGATTCAAAAGGTCAACAATTGACCTGGAAAATATTGTCGCCCAAAGTGCAGAACCAGGGTCCAGACCAACAGCCCTCACCACTGTGGCCCAGAGCGCAACATACGCACAATGGGCAAAGAAGGATGAGGCCTTTGGGTGTTCCCCTTCCAGGGTCCAAACCCACAAGAGAACTTCTGAAACACCCGACACCAGTGTCCCCCTGGGTGGAGGCAGGGGATGAGGAGGCCTTGAAAAAAGAACGGCTATCGGGCCGGAGAATTTACAATCGCACTATCACTACGGGGGGCCCATGAGTTAGTGCTCATGTAAGCCCTCACCACTGTGGCCCAGAGCGCAACATACGCATATAATGGGCAAACAGGTGAAACGCTGCAAAATAAGGATGAAGCCTTTGGGCGTTCCCCCCCAGGGTCCAAACCCACAAGAGAACTTCTGAAACACCCGACACCGGTGTCCACCCTGCCCAAAATTCAGCCGGGGCTGGAGCCAAAGGTAGCAGGCTCAAGTCGCTCCAGTCGCTGGACAGAGTAAAAAGGCCACACGCTTCGCGACAAAGAGGGGGGCCAAAGAGGGGGGGAAACGACGGGAAACCCTTCCTGTCGAAACTCCGGCCAAAAGGAAAGACAGAGACGGGCAACGCTTCCGTCTGCACCACCTGCCCAAAAAGCAGTGACTTTTTAGAACTCCAAACGTGTCAAACGCGTACGCGCAGGATTACTAAGGGACAACTCAGTGAGCTGCGCTAGTGCATCAGCTAGGTAGATCCTGGCAGTTTTAGGGCAATTCCATCGCCCAACAACACATAAGGCTGGTAAGTTGTTGGTCAAACGAAAACAGTGGGTAGCCCCACCTCGCCGAAGCGAGTACCATTGGAAACCATCAGGCAGCTGAAGGTCAGCAAAAAGCTGCTTGAGGCGTTGTCGCATGCCTCCCGGGCTAACAGCCCGAAGATGATCACTGGGGGCGTGAGAGGACATGTAATTATACAATGCATGAACCAACCATGTGTCCTCCACGACTGGAGACTCCTGGGCTCCATGCCTTTGCACACTTTTCGTGAGAGGCAAAGTCCATACCACTCGCTTCAAAGAAGAATCAAAATGAAAGTCTCCTCTCTTAGCATTGAAAAGTTCCCCGGTTCGCGCAAAACGATCAAAGCCTAACAAGAGAAGAGCTGCCATGTCCCGCCAGCCCAATTCAAAAGCTCGCTGTGCCAGGGCGTAAAAACTATCACGGGAGTGAAAGGCAAGGCTCGAGCTGGGAGCTCAGCCCTGCTCCAGCTGCCATGAAGTCTCCACGCCCCCGCTAAATGCTTCTTGCATTGGGGGATATAGTGACCAAGGCCACTCAGCCAGTCCGATGCAAAAGCCTTGCTGTCTCCATTCTGCCACAGGTATTCTATGTATTCACAAACCCGGCCATCTAGGGAAAGAATAGAGGATGGATAAGGGTAGGCATGCAGTTGAAGGAATTGCAGGAAGAGTGAAACAGCCTGGAAGTATCGGTCTAAAGTAAGTGGGGCGACAACCAAACTCCGCAAGGTTCCCAGCTCTCTGCGCTCCTTTTTTTCGTTGTTGCGGCGTTCGCCGCGCTAGCACTTTGCTTAGGCGCCATGCGCGTGACACTTAGCGGCCCATCTTGAGGGGCCATCGGCTGGGTTCCATTTGGATTTAACCCACTCCGGGTGCAAAACAACGCCCCCTGCAACCAGAATAGCTCCGATTCGGCGCAGGGGGCTTTGAAGCGCACGAGCTGAAGACCGGCCTTTCGCTAAGGCACTGAGGGCAGTTTGGTTGTCAATGAGGATCGCATACCGCTTGTGGTGGTGCTTTGACTCACGACACAACTTTCTCAAGACATCAAGCACTGCAGCCGTCTCCAGGACATTAATGTGCTGCCCAGGCTCTTTCCATTGGTAGGAAAGCAGCACCTTCCATGTCCAGTGCGTGGGATCGATGCTCTGACGGCATGCCACACCAGTTGCCAAAGGTGCACCATCTCGGATAACAAGTAGCTAGGATCTGTTCATCACTCAGCCAACGCGGTGGATCGATCAAGCGCACGGTGTCCTTCACCAGCTCACGCAGGGACCGAACCATGGTAGCCGAACCGCTCGCGATCCAAACCTGATCTTCCAGGGTTGCTCATCATGCTGCGCTCGCTCTTCCATTTCATGCCAGGACTGCCATAGGAGGCTCGTCACATCCCGGTCTTTTACATCATCTTCACTGGCCACCAGTCCCACCAGAAGACGGGCTACTGCAATGGCTGAGAAACTATTGCCAATCAACTGCCCCTTCACATCGGCTGACAGCTTGCTCTTCGCCTCCAAGTAATTGGGCTCAAATCCCATCATACGCATCTGCTCTGCAGGAAGTAGACGTCGGGGGCCATGTTTGTCTACCACCAGATTGCGATCTTCATACTGGTAGGTTGAACCCTGTATGCATCACCCTTCCAGCGGGCTCGTGCCTTTTCACTACTGGCTTGATCATATGCAGCTGGATCGCTTGGTGGTGACTTGCGAGGTATCGGTCGGGCGAATGTTGCGAAGGGCCGAAGGGCTCCTCTTAAGATTCAGCCTCCATCTTTTGAACATCCCGCTCAAGAAACCACGTGAGCGGAGGTTGTTCGGTTTCCACATTGACCCTGGCCACTGAGTAGGTGCACCCACGAGGTGTGTGATTGCGCTCCAGGGTCACATCCGCCCCAAGGCTCAAGGGCAAGTTTTTCCTCCAGTATAGTCTTGGCCGTCGGCACCGCCCGAGGTCTCCTGCTTCGAGGAGGACTGCCGGAAATCCAATCTTGCCCGTTGGAATTTCATAGTCCGTCTGGTCCATAACGACATTCTCATAGAATTCACAGACTGTCCATGGCCGCAGTCCATCCAGCTCACTCACCTCGCGCAACCCGTCTTTCAGCCGTATCAATTGATCTAAAAGCATGCTGCTTTCTGCGTGCACCACCTCGGTGGACATTGAGCTGCGAGTGGTTGATGCATGGCCACCCTCCTGCCAGGATCACCCTGGTTGCCCGAGGAAATCGTCGTCTGATCTCCTGTAATTCCACGAGCTGAACCTTGT